ATCATAAAAAGGAATAACAATTCTAAAATGTCGCAGGATGTATATGTCGTTGGTGGACACATTAGCAGCACTGTTAAAGACAAAGGAAATATATTTTCAGTTCCTTCCAACCAATATGCTGAGTTCAACATGTTCTTGGATCCTTTAGCAGCCAGGATAGTGTTTGAATCAGAAGTTAATGTCACACTCATTCCACTCAATACCCAGCGCAAATCAAGTTCGTTTTCAGCCTTTATAGGCGAGTTGCGTAGGACACAAAGAACACCAGAGGCTGTGTTTTCCGAACGTCTGCTGTCACGGCTATACCATTTAAAGCAATCTCATAGCATGTATCAGCATATGGTATAACTTTCAGCCCACAGTTTTTTTCTTTCTAGTTTTTCACATCTTAATCTCAGAATTTATGGTTAACCTCTCTAAATGTGTGACACAAAAAGGAGAATAATCAACTTTAGATTCGTTTTAACAATGCCCCTTAAGAAACAAGATGATTCCCGCTTAGTTCTTATAGGAATATTTGTTTATTCTTGTTTTTATTGCAAGACCGCTAAATACAAGAACTAAACATAAAAAAAAAATTAGTATATAAGACTAAAATATTGAGGATTTAGGTATAAGGATTAAGAAAAATGTTGGTGCTGATGTAGGAACCAAACGATTGATAAAACGTTAAGAAATTGCATTAGAAAAAGTAGATTAGATAGGATTAGTTGTTGTTTCCACTGTTTAAGTCCTTTGTGTTTGCAGGGCACGTTCTTGGGAGAAATTCTAGGCGCAGTTGTCTTGGGTGATAGCTATTCAGGTCTTGATCCAAAATTTGAGGAGAAGCTCATTAAAGTCTTGGCTGATGGTAATGAATGGAGTGATGGAAAAGTTGTGGTGGATGAAAAAGATGGAAAATTAGTGAGAATTTTAACGACTGTGGATGCCAAAGCTTACTATAAATTGTATGCAAACAAGCTTGGCCATGAGGAACAGTCAGCTAAGATAGGGAGTTTTGAGGAACAACGGAGAAGATGGAGTCATCCTCAGTTTAAATTAGAGATCATTACTTCACTGTTTACTAAGTGAAATTTAAACATAACTTCATCTCAATAATTAACGTGAAAACTTAAACAAATTTCAATCTAGTTTTTACATCAATTGTTTCTTGATTGCTACCCTTCAACTTTGAGTAATGAAGAAAAAAGAAAGAAAGGCGTCTTCAAAGAGTAATTTGTCTCTTAATGCTCTAACTCATAAAATATGAATTATAAGATAAATTAATTTTATTTAGTAAAATAACTATATATCCCTTAAGAAAACATGATTTGTTGAAATTTAACTTGTTCATTAATAGCGACTGTCAAACTATGAAGATGAGGCATGCTCATAAATGGTGTGTCTCATGTCTAAGACGTATCAGACACCAACATGCCCATACTAGTAGTAAGACACACATTGAAGAAGTGTCTAATTTGAGAAAAAAAAATTTCTAATATAATTTTGATAATTTTTTCTAACTAGAAATGCAATTATTTCTCAAAAATCTTGTAAACTTGCAAATTTATTACATAAGTTTTTATTATGATTATAAAAATAAAAAATAAATTTTATTATTTTTTAATATTAAACAAATTGATTATATTTATTTTTGTGTTAATGAATAATGTGTTTAGATTATTATATTTGACTAATTTTGTTCGTAGATAATTTTAAGGATTTAAAGACATAATAATCTAATATATAAATCCATGTTCTCGTGATCTGCATTTTGTAGACTACATGGCTCAAAGTATATGTGTCGTGTATAGTGTTTGTCTGTATTCGTGTTACATAACTACCAAATCTTCGTCCTTCAATTTCAGATTAATAAGAATTTAGTAACCTTTAACCTTTGATTTCTGAACAGGTATACCAATTGTGGGAT